CTGATGGAAATCCGAGTTAAGGGTGACATGGATTTAATATTGTTTTTAATTAATCAAACGTGACAAGCGTATAGCAGCATAAAGTTATACAGAGAATGTAACATAATACTTCTCGTTCACAGCTGTTCGTTGAGACAGTGACTTCCATCCTCGCCTTCAACACGGTTGCCTTTTCATTACGAGTTCACCGTCGCGTCGTCAAGTGGTTAAACATAGGACATTCTTCTCGGTAGTATCATTGTCGTGTACACACCTTACACATGTTTTTAATGAGCACCATACATCTCTTTTCTATTTTCGTGTTCACACTTAATCCCTTTCATTAAATTTATGCTAGCCATCTCTCCCGTAAACCGAGCAGCGAATTGCTTCACAGTGCGTACGGTTAAATCCCTGGTCAGGCCAGTTGTATATTGTAATGTGCATTACTCTACTGCCTTTTCATTTGTTTCATTCGCAGTTATCAAGGCTTTTAACTGCATTACGGTGTGTTGTAGAGGAAACGTACGAAATTGAAGTTGTTCATGGAAAATGTTTCTGATGCAAGCTTTTTCATTTCAAAATAATACGCGCACAATTACGGTGCTTTGAATGTGGATTGCGTTTAGCCAATCGGATACCACACAGGAAAATACGTTTAAGGATCGTTGAAAAATTGTTTAAAGATTGTTTGAAGATCGTAGAAGCTTACAGACGATTCGTGAGAATAACTTTTGTGTGCACAACCAAAATGTCCAGAATATTTTAAGCGTAGTTATATAAAATATTTTACGAAACGTTAATTGTTGCAATGGTGTAACAAAAAATAGAAATCCGGAGCGGTTTGCGATATTTCGTCAAAAATCGCTTAAAACTAATGAAGGAGAAATAAAAACGGGTAGTACTCGGGTACCTGTCTGTTCGCACAAGGGTTAAGAGTGATGAATTGCATATTTAAAATTTGTTTACATTTATTCTGCAGTAATGTCAAAAGCAGTGGATCGCTGTGAATATCATAGAAATTAAGGTACTATGACACAGTCGTAAAATAACTACCTAAGTGATATAATCCTCGAATAAAAAACTGTTTTCAAATTGAAGTGTATTACGTCAAAAGAATTACAAAATCTGTTCATTCGGCGAAATTGAATTTTATACAATTGTTGCAAAAATTGGTTAAAGTAGTTTGCAGCAATGCTTCATAGCCAGAAGACGCATAGCCATTAAAGTTTTTGCATAGTACGCCATAACTTATAAAGACAATGCTATCCGATGACTCCACGTTTTATGAATCATTTTTTTAATCGCATTTTCGACTTCGTCATTTCACGGAGCTAACTGGCAATAAGCCGGAGTTGTTTTGGTGTTATCACGTACGAGACCGACGAAACACCGAGAACGATAGAAATGAAATCGAATTGCAAACCAATGAAACAATCGAATTGACGCGCCTGCTATCAGCGTCGTCACATTTGCGAAAATTCCCATCATGGATTTCGCAAAGGAAAGAGGCATGGAAATATTCGTTGCGAAACATTCAGAGAATAGCAAAGATTTCACTGTAAAATTATTTCACTATTTTCGAATGTTTTGCAAAAGCATGCGCAGTGTTTAATAAAATGTAGAAACAATTCGTCGAATAATTAGTTGCACTGTGGTTGTTTAGTTTTGATTGTGTAAAGAATGATTGAAATTATTAGCTGAAGTATGTAATCGTATAATTGATGTTTGTAATATAATAATAATATTATATCTAATGTAATATATAATAAATAATATAATTTATCTAATATAATATCTAATGTAATATATAATAAATAATATAATTTATCTAATATAATATCTAATGTAATATATAATAAATAATATAATACCTAATACAGTTTCTCCGTATTTTATTAAATATGCGTTTATTACACCGCGTGAATTCTGACAAAAATAAGTATCTCTCTAATATCAAATTTTATGAAAGATTTGGCAACTGTACAAACATTATAAAATT